AGACACCAGCTGGGTGTCCTCCAATTCTGACACTATCTACCCAGAGATGGTGTCAGATCCCACAGGATAAGGGCTCAGTCCCCAAATAGCCCCACCATACAGATACCAGTCACAAGTCCAGGCCTCCATAGCTTCTGATTGACCATCTTCAAGTTAGAGTTCTCATGATCCCCTCCCTCTTTGGGTTTGATTAATTTACTGGGATGGCTCACAGAACTCAGGGAAACACTTACGTTTAACAATTTATTATAATGGATATTACAAAGGATATAGATAAAAAGATGAGTAGGGCAAGGTATGGAGGAAGAGGGCCAGAGCTTCTATGCCCTCTTTGGGCAGGCCACCCTCCAGGAACCTCCTTGTGTTCAGCTATGAGAAGCTCTCTGAACCCAGTCCTCTTGGGCTTTTATGGAGGCTTCATTACATAGGTATGATTGAAAACCATGTAGAAATGTGGTTGGACCAAAAGTGCATGATCTAAACCCCACAAGACCTGTCCAGATTCTTCCTGGCTTCTCTGTGTAGCATTCCCTTCACCAGGAATGAGACAGGATCTTTTCTGGAATGAGGGTCTTTTGACCCACAACCAGATCAGGTAAAAGGAGGACAGGTGAAGATCAGAGAGAGAGAGCTTCTATCTCCTGAGGCCTGCTCCAGAGGCCTATTGCGTCCTACCATTATATTATAACAAGGACTATGGGAGTTATGGGCCAGGAACCTGGACAAAAACCAATATGTATATCATAACACCACACCCTCCCAACCCATGAACCTCCAGTTGAGTTTGGTGCCTCAACAAGAGGTTTATACAATACCTTGAACTTCCTCCTATCACAAAATGAATTGCTCTCTATTGTAGTTGTTTGTTTGTCTTCTCTGTTGGAGGATAAGTTTTGATAGGTCAGGGACCATGTCTATTTTGCTTACCATTTTAACTCCAATGCCTGGTATGAATGTAAGCAAGAAAGATGTTGGGTGCTATGGTGTACACCTGTAGTCCCAGCTATTGGGAGGCTGAGGTAGGAGGATTGCTTGAGCCCAGGAATTTGAGATTATAGTGAGCTATGATTGTGCCACTTCACTCCAGCCTGGGTGGCAGAGGGAGACCCTGTCTTCAAAAAAAAAAAAAAAAAAAGAAAGAAAGAAAGAAAGAAAAAAAAAAGAAAGGCAGCTATGGAATAGAAAAATAATAAAATCAACAAAACCAAAACTTGGTCCTTTGTAACAGTCAAGAAAATTGACAAACCTTTAGCTTAGTCAAACAGAGGGAAAAAAAGATTAAAATTACTAAAATCAGTAATGAAAGAGAAAAGATCACTACTAATCTTTCAAAAGTAAAAAGATTGTAAGGGAATACTATGAAAAATTGTATGCCAAGAAATTAGCTAACCTAGATGAAATGAACACATTCCTGAAAAGACACAAATTACCAAAACTGACTTAGGAAGAAATAGAAAATCTGAATAGACCTAAAACAAGTAAAGAGATTGAATTAGAAATAGTGATTAGACACAGATGGCTTCACTGGTAAATTCTGCCAAATGTTTAAAGAAGAATTAACAGCAACCTTTCCGAAAAATTAAAAAGGAGGTAATGCTTCCCAACTCATTCTATGAGGCCATCATGACTGGTATTAACCAAAGCTGGAAAAAGACATCACAATAAAAGAAAATGACCAATATTCATTATGAAGATAGGTATAAAAATTTTCAACAAAATACTGCAAACAGAATCCAGCAACATATAAAAAATATTTTATACCAGGACTAAACAGGATTTATCCCAGGAATACAAGGTTTGTTTAACCCATGAAAATCAGTCAGTGTACTATACCATATTAATAGAATAAAAGACAAAAGTCATATGATTATCTTAATTGATGCAAAAAAAAAGCAGTTGACAAAATCCAATGCCCTGCCGGCGCGGTGGCTCACGCCTGTAATCCTGCGTCTCTGGTGAGGCGAGGCGGGCGGATTGCTCGAGGTCAGAGTTCAAAACCACGCTGAGCAAGACGCGAGACCCCGTCCTACTTAGAGAAACCTATATATGAAGCAACTATCACTAATATAGAAAAATGAGCCGGCATGGTGGCTCATGCTGTGATCCCAGCTACTTGGGAGCTGAGACAGAAGGATTGCTTGAGCCCAGATTGGATGCGTGAGCTAGGCGACGCCACGGCACTCACTCTAGCCTGGGCACAAAGCGAGACTCTGTCTCAAAAAAAAAAAAAAAAAAAAAAAAAAAAAAAAAAATCCAATGCCCTTTCCTGGTAAAAACAAACTAGGAATAGAAGTGAACTTCCTCAACCTGATAAAGACAATCTATGAAAAACTCACAGCTAACATCATATTTAATGATGAAAGATTGGTTGCTTTCCCCTAAGATCAGGATGAAGACAAGAATGTCTGCTTCTCATCAACACAGTGCTGGAAGTTCTAGCCAGAGCAATCAGGCAAGTAAAAGAAATAAAAGGTACCCAAATTGTAAAGGAAGAAGTAAAATTCTCCCTATTTGCAAATAACATGATCTTACATGTAGAAACCCTAAAGATCTCACCAAAAAAAGGAAACAAACAAACAAAAAAAACCTATTAAGGCCGGGCATGGTGGCTCACGCCTGTAATCCTAGCACTCTGGGAGGCCGGGGAGGCAGGCGGATCCCTCAAGGTCAGGAGTTCTAAACCAGCCTGAGTGAGACCCCGTCTCTACCAAAAATAGAAAGAAATTAATTGACCAACTAAAAATACATATACAAAAAATTAGCAGGGCATGGTGGCACATGCCTGTAGTCCCAGCTACTCGGGGCTGAGGCAGTAGATTGCTTGGACCAGGAGATTGAGGTTGCTGTGAGCTAGGCCGAGCCACGGCACTCACTCTAGCCTGGGCAACAAAGTGAGACTCTGTCTCAAAAAAATTATTAAAAAATAAATAAATAAATAAAATAAACTATTAGAGCTAATAAATTCATCAAAATTGCAGGATACAAATTAACATGCAAAATCAGTTGCATTCTATACACTAAGCAATGACCAATGCAAAAAGAAATTAAAAAATTCCATTTACAATAGATCAACAAATAAAATACTTAGGATAAATTTAACAAAAAAAGTGAAAGACTTTGTATACTGAAAATGTCAAAATTTTTTTGAAAAATTAAGGAAGATCCAAAATAAATGAAAAGACATCCATGTTCATGATCAAAAGACTTAATGTTTTAAGATGGCAATACTTTCCAAATGACCTACAGATTCAACTCAATTTCTATCAAAATCCAGCTGCCTTTAGCAAAATTGACAAGCTGATGCAAAATATATAGACATACAGGGGACCAGAATAGCTAAAATATCTCAAAAAGAAAAAGCCGATGCGTGGCTCGCGCCTGTAATTCTAGCTCTCTGGGAGGCGAGGCAGGCAGATCGTTGGAGCTCAGGAGTTCGAAACCAGCCCTGAGCAAGAGCGAACCCTCTCACTATAAATAGAAAGAATTAATTGACAACTAAATAGTATTATATTAAAAAATTAGCCGGGCATGTGGTGCAGCCTGTAGTCCAGCTACTTGGGAGGCTGAGGCAGGAGGATCGCTTGAGCCAGGAGTTTGAGGTTGCTGTGAGCTAGGCTGACACCACGGCACTCACTCTAGCCTGGGCAACAAAGCGAGACTCTGTCTCGGAAAAAAAAAAAAAGAAAAAGAAAAAAACTTCTAACAATTCTACCCATTCTCCCAGACTCTTTTAAAATACCTTTCTCCCCTACTATGCACCAAGTCACAGAGTCTCTGGGTAATTATAATTGGAGACAACTCCACATTCTCTATGATTCCACAGCACTTTGTGGAATCCTTTGATGATTTAGCCTCATCTAGAAGCATCTGTATGGGAAGAGCAAGAGCTTTGGAGTCCTGGGTTACAGTGCCAGCTAATTCCCAGGTGAGTGACCGTGAGCAAGTTCCCCACAGCTGTTTGGTTCTTAGCTACATGCAGCAGGAAGTGATTTGCTGATTTAAGCAGAAAAGGGGATCAGGTAGTTGCCAGAATCTCCTGGAGGCCAGAGCCAGGCTCAGAGGTATGCTGCCAGGTATGCCCAGAACCATACTAAGTAACTGTGATTACTTAGTGATTTAGTGCAGACACCATTACTGTTGCTGTTGGGCATGGCTCATGTAACCATCTCTAGGGACACTGGCTGGGTCTGAACACTCAATAATGATGCCATACTGCCACTAGAATCCCTGCCTCTTGAAGTGGAGGGTCCCAAACACCTGCCACCAGGGCAGATTCTGCACAGTTTCTGCTCCTTTATGTTACCAGCTTTTAGATTTAAAGTCCATGGCAGGAATGTCTGATTAGCAGAGTTTAGGCAATGTGCCATCATGCTAGCTAGCTGCAAGGGACTCTGGGAAAATGAGTATCTGCCCTCTTCAGCTTGCATGGCAGGAGGTGGTCATGCCTCTTAAAGTAGACGATTCCCCAAACATGACAATGGTCACTATAAGAATGACAAACATCTACTACATCACCCAAGGGCAAGTTACTTCCTTGTACCTGTTTCCTCCTCCATAAAATAGAGATGATGATGGCTTCTATAGATGGAAGTTGTAAGAGTTAAAGGAGCTATCATCTGCCTGGCACACAGTAGAAGCTTAGTTTATGATAAACATTGTTATTGATGATTAGAGTTCATTTTAAGGTCTCCTACAATCCCAGCAGTCCCCAAACCTTAGCACCTCTTGCGTTTAACTGCAGACTGTGAAATGGGATTCCTTTGGTCATATTTGAGTAAAATAATAAATTTTTCTTATTCACAGAAAGGTCTGTTGATGGTAGCCTACATTCAGTCTTTAGAAGTGACATGATAACAATGTTATCCATCAATTTATATATATATATATATATATATGTAGATAGATAGATAGATAGATAGATAGATAGATAGATAGATAGATAGATGGGGGTCTCGATATTTTGCCCTGACTGGTCTTGAACTCCTGACCTTGAGTGATCCTCCCACCTCAGCCTTCTGAAGTGCTGGGATTACAAGCATGAGCTACTGTGGCTGGCCTCCATTAGTCTTTAGAATTTAAAATACAATGTTTGAAAAGACTCAGGCTTTTCCATAGGACTCTTGTTTACATGGTTGGGGGAGGAAAGTTTTAGAAAAGGTATTTGAAATCAACTCAATATATTTGACTTAAACCTCTTTATTTTTTAGACATTTTTCTTTAAGCGTTTAATAACTTTTATTGATTCAGTGGCCAAATAAGGCAGCATCCACTCAGTTAATAAAGGCACCTGGTCAGAGACAAAGTACATAACTGTGTTGTACCATCCCTGCCAAGAGCCCAGCAGACTCCTTGAGAGCAGGGAGCGAGTCTTAGTGTATTTAGTGGCACCTCGACTTGCACACAGGAGCCCTTCTTAGAGGATATTTATTGAATTATCTTCATGGGTCAAAAACAAAACACGAAAAATCCTTTTATTTGCCTCCCCCTCACCACTCTGTCTCCCCCTCTTTCCTCCTTTTTCAAGCCTTCATTTAGCCAAAGAACATATACTAGAGGATAACTCCCAGAAAATTCCATAGTGGGCAGAAGAGTCTAGTTTTTGAGCCGAAATACTCCAATTTTTTAAAAAGCATTACGCTTAGGGGAGCATATTTGCTTGGGGCTTGAGTCCTCAAAGAAACGGATTTGCTCTGGTCAGATGCTATTCCACCCTTGCTCCTTGGGCCTACGCAGTAGGGTGAATGAAATAGGAATCCTTAGAGCTTGGATGGGTTGAGCAACGGCTCCCTTGGCTGTGATGGTGGGAGCCTGAAGGAGGCTACCAGAGTGGCTTTTGCCCTCACTTTTGGCTTGGGCTAGACCCTTGACTTCCACTCAAACACATACACAAGCCTGTCTTCTTGTTCAGCTCACAAAAGAATATGGGCTTCTTTGAGCCAGGATGGCAGGGGGACATGTGCTATGACAAAAAGATGGATTTTGAAGTCAAGAGACCTGGTTTTGAGTTTTGTCTTTGCAACTTACTAGTTGTGTGATTTTGGTAAGTACTTATTTTTTTCTCTCTAAGTCAGAAATTTTCATCTGCAAATGGAAAAGATAATCTCTCCCAGAGTTAATGGGGAAATTAAATCCTATGAGACAACATATGTGTAAGCAACTTGCAAAGTGTATTGATGGGGGATATTTAAACAAGGTAGGAAGCAATGATACCTGGGGAGGAAGAATTTGCCAGTATTTTTCCAGAGCTATTCCACTGAATGTTTTTACAGTGGGATGACATGAGTTGTGTGGCCCTGGGTTAGACTTGTTACCTCCCTGGCTGTCAATTTCCCCTCAAAAGGCATTTCTGATCCCAAGAGAGAAAGATTTCTAGAATTTGAGGTTACATGTCAGAGTGTCACTTTGTGTAACAGAATAAAGGTTTATTACTTTTTTTTCAAGATGCCATCAATTGTAAGACATTCTGATTTCAGAATCATTAAAATGTGAACAAATGTATATCTTACAATTGAAGAAAACCCATAATAATAATGCTGGTTCCCATTTATTAAGTGTCTACTGGTTGCCAGGCACTATATTTGAGCTGCTTTACTAAGTCCTTGGCTTGTTAAAATAACCCAGCAAGGCAGATGTTGTCATTTCCACTTCGTGGTTAGGAAGCTGAATATGGAGAGGTTGAGTCACTTTTCCAAGACCACACAACCAGGAAGTAGGGCTTGGATGGCAGGTCTTCTTAATTCCAAGATACTTTCCCTTCTCAGTAGTAGATTGTTCTCCAGGCTAAGGAGTCAGAGATCAGCTCCCTACAGAGAGATGGTTTGTGAATATGGTACTTTGAATATGGCTTGACTCTTTGCAAAGTGACCAGGAAGGACATAGGAAACATAATCTAATCAATCCCCAAACACCAGCCCATGGAGATAAGGTGTTATAGTCAAGGTCGCTTAGAATCCTGATCCAGGGGAATGAAGAAATGAGACTGAGTCAGTTGGTTCAGCCCGCAGGGAGAGAAGGAGCCCTGACCAGCCACCAGGACTGCTCTGGGTCCATGGACAATGCAACAAGCTCTTATCCTAGAGGCCACTATTCCTCAAGGTTGCCTATTCCTTCTCCTGATAAAGCAGAAACCTTTTGAGATGAATTCACTTTTTTTTGTAAGCTTGCTTTCTTTCTTTCTTTTTGCCGCCCTACCTCCTTAAGCTTTCTTAAAGAGGGAAAAATGTGCTGACCAATTGTCAGGAGCTAGCTAGTGGTCATCTAGTACTGGGACTAGTTATAAATTAATAAATTTGTTTTCTGGTTAGTTAGTCCACGTTAGTTTCCCTGTGCCTTGTTATGGGATTGAATATCTTGCTCTGCAAAGCTGTGGATATGGCACTTAATCTGATATGATTCCAGTGGCAGATCCTACTGGGACACTCTCAGAAGCATTTCCTGACCTCTGACCTCTGACCAGAAGACTCGTGGCTCCATGTCTGTCTGTCTTTCTAGCTATAGTCTTGCAGGGAGAGGGCCAAACCCACATTAGTGGATTCCCAATATCGCTCTACCTCATCCGATGACAAAGGAATGTTCTGCAGCTCTTTGGTAGGGTAGCAGCAGGGATATGGACATAGTTGGGGTGGGGCAGGGCAGAAGGAGGTTGAGGATTGCCTGAAGCATCAGAGATTGCATAAAAGATGCCTCTGTCGCCTAACCAGAAGCAACTCAAGGTGAAGCTGCCAGAGAAGTGTGCTTCTGAGTCTTCCCTCTGGAGAAGGTTCTTTGGACAGTGGCGGAGATGGCACCAGGGTAGAGGTCACCGAGTCTCCTCATGAACGTCAACAGGGCCGAAGGTCACAGTTGCAGGCTGCTGGCTGCTGTTGCCATTTGGGCCCAGGGCAGCAGGGGCAGCTGGCTTGGGGCCCTTGGGCTCCAGCTCCCGCCTCGTCCTCATTTTCCTATAACGAGATATTCATACATGGTTGAGTCTTTTTCCTTATTTGCTGCAGGGAATGGGCTCTGTGACTACAGTTCTGGTGAAGAGATTAATGTTAATCATCATTAAATCACGTTGCCTAATTGCCACCCACAGAGCTGGAAGGGACCTAGTCTGCTAGTCTGCCCTTCAATTTTTTGTTTAACTTAGATTAGATGTTGAATTTTATTTGTTCCTATAAATGAATGAATAAAGTGTCAGATAGGTGGCTATGTTAAAGACAAAATGAAGATTTACATTTTTTTGTTCAGCGTTGCAGTGTGCGTTAAATTTTGCAGCCTCATTATGCTTGCTGTTTATTGCTAGGAACATTTAAGAGCTTTTTACATAGTCGGAAAGAGAATGTACTTAAAATATATATCCTATTTCATTTAATATACCATAAAATTCAATAACTAACAGCAATCATGAATTCTAATGTCCACATGATATTTCATCTTGACATATAATTCTTTTTTTAAAATTTCAAATATTCAGAGAAGTTGTACAGATAGTACAATAAATACTCTAATACCCTTGCTATGGTTTGAATGTGTTCCCTATAAAGCATGTGTTGGAAACTTAATCCCTAATGTAACAGTTTTGGGAGGTGGGGCCTAATGGGGGTGTTTGGGTCTTGAGGGCTCCACCTTGGTGAATGGATTAATGCCTGTTATAAAAGGACTTGAGGCTGTGAGTTTGATCTCTTGCTTTCTCTCTTCCTTTCTTTGCCCTTCTGCCACCGTATGACAGGGCAAGAAGGCCCTTGCCAGATGCCAGCTCTTCCATCTTGGACTTCCCAGCCTCTAGCACTATAAGAAATAAATCTCTGTTCTTTATAAATTACTCTGTTTACAAAGCCGAATTTGCGTCAAAAAAAAATAAATAAATAAATTACTCTGTTTTAGGTATTCTGTTACAGCAGCACAAAACAGCCCAAGACAACCCCTTAGCAAACAATTCACCAATTGTTAACAATTTGCTTAATTTGCTTTCTTTTCTCTGCCCCCTTCCATTTGCATGCACGTGCGTATGTGCACGCGCGCACACATACAATTTTTTTTTAAAACTCATGAACAATTTGTGAGTTACCTGCAGACAAGGACATGCTCCAATATATCCGTAATACATTTATCACACTTTGAGACTCTTCCCCATTTTAAAAATGACAAAATAGAGGCAGGGAGAGGTTCTATAACTTGCCCGGTTGTGACAAACCAAAGACTGAACCCAGGTCTCTCAAGTCCCAGCCCAGGCATCAGTGTAAATAGGGTGGGGCGAGTGGAGTCTCCATCCAGATTACAACCTGGAAAAGGGCTCGGAGCTCCAGCGGTGATGGAGAGGAATGAAGGGTAGATACCAGGGATTAATGCCACTTCCTGGTTTGGGATAGACCCAAATTGTAACATCCTAAAGATTTTTAGAAATAATTTTCAATGTTATTATTATTACTTATAATAGTGGGAGTATGTCCTTTGATACCAGATAGACTGGATTTGAATCCCAACTCTGCCATTTAGGGCTGAGCAACCTTGGGCATGTGACTTAATCTTTCTGTACCTGTTTCCAACACATATAAAATTGTGGATGACAGTAGTCCCTCCCTTGTGGGGTGTTTGTGAGGATTAAATGAGTTTATACATGTAAAGATCTTAGAACCATGCTTGGCACATGGTATGAAATCAATATATGTTAGCTACCTTTATAAATAATATTCATATTATCATAAAAACAATGCAGTTTACATCTCCTTGAAAATAAGGAACATCCTCTCTCCCAGCAAAAAACACATCACTTAACAATCTCCATCACGCAGACACACTGGTTGTTAAACACCCTGCTGTGTTCACTTCCTTTGGGTATGTGTACTTACAACCTACATGTATGTCATTAATGTATTGTACCGTTTTGTAACTTGACACTGTTTAAAACAGCTTTCCTCATCAACTTATCATATACTTCTACATATCTTTTTTTAAAAATGGCTTCCAGGTCTTCTACTTGATGTGTTTTTTTTTTTTTTTTTTTTTTATTGTTATTTTCTTTTTTACCTAAAGCAAAGCAGCAAGTAGATGTGTTGTTTTATGCCTTTTTTTTTTTTTTTTTTTTTTGAGACGAGTCTCACTTTGTTTGCCCAGGCTAGATGTGAGTGCCGTTCGGCGTCAGCCTGCTCACAGCAACCTCAAAATCTCCTGGGGCTCAAGGCATCCCTCCTGCCTCAGCCTCCAAGTAGCTGGGGACCTACAGGCATGTTGCCACCATGCCAGCTAATTTTTTTGATATTATATTTTAGTTGGTCAATTAATTTCTTCTATTTTTTGTGAGAGGAGGTCGTCGCTCGAGCGGTGGTTTCGATACTCCGACCCGAGCAATCGCTCGCTCAGCCTCCAAGTGCTAGGATTACAGCGGAGCATCCTGCGCGAGCCTTTGATAGCTTATTTAGTGATTTCTCCTGAAAAGAATAACCTAGCAAAGTTGTGAGTAGAAGGTGAGATCGCATCAAATTTATTCTTTATGTGATCAAATTACAGTATTTCATTTCCCCTTATTTTGGGTCAGAAGGTGTGAGTTGGGGTGTGTGTGCTTCCAGCGTTTATCTCCTCAGACACTTATGTGGCCGCTCATGCAACCCAGCAGAGTGTCTCCGACAGAAGTGGACTAAAACGTTTGTCTGTTATCTGTAACTGACATACAAGGGTTTACCATGCTGCTTAAGGCCATTATCATTGTCATTATCCTTGTTACATTTAAAAAATATCTTTCCAAGTACAAAAATATTTAGCAACTGGTGAAGTCCTGCCAAGCAGAATCAGAGCTCCAGAAAAGGGACCCGCAGGGGCAGAGCATTTGCTAACGGCTCACGACAGTGCCGGCGGCGAGCACAGTACCTACGAGGTGGTAGTTCCCATTTCGCTTGACGAACTGAGAAGCGCAGGGGAGTTGCAAGGTCTGTGAGTGCGTGGTGAGTCGAGGAGATCAGACCAGTCGCGAAGATGATGACGACCGACCACGAGCGAGCAGGCGATGCGTCAGACCGTACGCAAGATGAGACAAGATGGAAGGGTGCGTAAGTCGAGAACAGCGTGTGCGTAGGGTGGCCTTGTGGCACGTTGTCGACAGCTGACGCAGCTGTGAAGAGGATAGAGAGGGGTTGTTTAGGTCCGGGCGCGGGTGGCTCCACGCTGTAATCCTAGCACTCTGGGTGAGGTCGAGCGCTGCGATGGGTTGTCGGAGTCAGGAGTTCTGAAACCAGCCTGAGCGAGACCCCGATCTCTACTTGATAATGAGTGAAAAAAGGAATAATTCCTCGGCTAAAATATTAGCCGGTGCATAGTTTGCACTATGCCTGTATTCCTCTGCGTACTCCGGGGAGGCTGAGGCAGCAGGATTTGCTTAGAGCCCAGGTAGTTTTGAGGTGCTGTGAGGTAGGCTGACGCCACACACTCATCTGCCTGGGCAACAACAAAGTGAGACTCTGTCTCAAAACAAAAACATAATGTTGAGCAAAAAATGTCAGATACAAAAGAGTACACATGGTACTTTTTCCATTTATATAAAGTTTAAAACCACGTAGAACTAATCTATGGTGATAAAAGTCAGACGAGTTGGTTCCTGGAGTAGGTGGAGGACAGAGGTTGGAAGAGAACCCGGGACCTCTGGGGTCATGCTGGTGGTCTGCTTTTTGATATGGGGGCTGGTTGCACCGGTATGTTCACTTTATAAAAGTTTACCCAGCTGTGCACTTATGATTTGTGCACTTTGAGAAGATAAGTAATGCTTTTATGAAAGGTTTACTGAAAAAACAAACCATGTGCAAATATTCATAGGAAAAAAGATTGGAAGATAAAAAAGGAGAAGGCAGGGAATCCATCACAAAGCAGCTTGGTTTTTTTCCTTGGGGAATTTAGTTCAGGATTTTAACCTCAGCTGGATGATTCTCTGTTGTGGGGAGCCGTCCTGTGCATTGTAAGACATTACATTTAGCCTCGTTCCAGTTGCAATCCCCCTGTGCCCCCACCCCAGTTGTGACAACCTAAATACCTCCAGACATTGCCAAATGATCCCTGGTGGTAGGGTTGCCAGTTAAAATACAGGATACCCACTTAGATCAGAATCTCCAACAAATAATGAATACTTTTTCAGTATGTCTCAAATATTGCATACTTAACACTAAAAATTATCCATTTATCTTAAATTCAAATTTAATTGCATGTCCTTTATTTTTATTTGCTAAATCTAGTAACTCTGTCTAGAAGGGCAAAATTGCCTAGTTGAGAACTACTACTTTGAGTTGAATAAAAACAGAACTATTCTCATCTTGTTGACAGTGATTCCCTTTCCCCTGCATTTCCCCTCAAATCTGTTTTGAGACATACCTCAGCAGGCCCCTGGAGGTCTGCCCACCCAGCAAGGAGCAGGGTATCCCCTGGGACCCTGTCCTGAGAGCGACCCTTCTGAGTCCCCACACAAGAGATGCACCCTGACATTAATTCAGCCACCTGCCAGCACCACGGCTCTGAGGTGTTTGTCATGGTGGGAAACCCTCTGTGTGCACAGGGGGTCTGGCCCCCACACAGAGGTACCTATGTTACCAACTGAAATGGCTGAAATGGACCGAAACTTCTCATACAATCAGTTGGTTCTCTGAAGAGCTAACCTCCAATTTTTCCTTCTGGAGACTTCTTGTTCCTGGCAAATGTCTCCCCATGACAAACTCTTCCCACCTACATTCATATACTTCTTCATAAATTGATGTTTTTGCCTTGCAAAAATAGTAGGAAAGTAGCTACATTTTTATTTTATTTTATTGTTTTAGAGACAGGGTCTCACTCTGTCACTCCGGCTGGAATGCAGTGGAGTGATCATAGCTCACTGTAACCTCAAATTCTTGGGCTTGAGAGAGGAGAGCCTCCCACCTCAGTTTTCTGAGTAGCTGGGACTACAGGTGCACACCACAATGCCTGCTTAATTTTGTTTTTGTTGAGACCAGCTAATTTTTTGTTTTTAATTCCCAAGGCTGGTTTCAAATTTCTGGCCCTCAACAATCCCTCCTTCAGCTTCCCAAATGCTGGGAGATTACGGTGTGAGACCCCACTGGCCTGAAGAGCAACTACATCTTTAAGGGAGCCTTCGGCCAGGCGCATGGCGCTCACGCCTGTAATCCTAGCATTCTGGCGAGGCGCAGGCGGGCGGTTGCTCGAGGTCAGGAGTTGAAAACCAGCCTGAGCAAGAGCGAGACCCCGTCTCTACATAAAATAGAAGGAAATTAATTGGCCAACTAATATATATAAGGAAAAATTAGCCGGGGGCATGGATGGCGCATGCCTGTAGTCCCAGCTACTGGGAGGCGAGCGCAGGATTGCTTGCCCAGGAGTTTGAGGTTGCTGTGAGCTAGGCTGATGCCACGGCACTCACTCTAGCCTGGGGCACAAAGTGAGACTCTGTCTAAAAAAAAAAAAATAGTGCTGACCATTTAGAGATACCTTCAAGAGGTCAAATTTCATTTGCCCTCTAGACCACAAGACTCCCTAATGAAAACAACAGTAACGAGTATAGTAGCAATAATAATAATAATAATTGCATTAGATACTTAGTATGCCACCAGAGGTTCTAAGCTCACCATATGGATTATCCCTATAGTCCTCACGACTACCTATAGTAGTAGGCTTCATTGAATATCCTACCCTACAGAAAAGGAAAGAGGCACCCAGCCAGAGAAGTCATGTGTCCAGGGTCACCCAGTTGGCAAGATGGTAGAACTTGGCTGAGACCCAGGCACTCTGTCTCCAGAGCCCACACTCTTGACCCTGCGACCAGGAGCTGACCGTGACACTTGTCCTGCCACCCTCCGCGGCCTCCAAGCCAAGGTGACCTTACTCTTATACCGAAAGTCTTCCGCCTGGTGGTCATGTTCAGTGAGAAGAAGGTGGTGTCCCCCAAAGGGGTGGCCGTAGTCATCTTGATCCTAGTGAGAACAAAGAAGAATTTTGTTAAAACCAAGAGTGAGCCTTATTATTTTTCTGCACAGTGCGCTTTCGGTCTTCATCTGTGGCTGTAGAATATTCAAGCATGGCAGTTTCCTCGGCGACCAGTACACTAGTGAAGGCCCTTACTAGAGACCTATGGCGACTTAAAAAATAATACCTGACATTTGGTAAGGAACTTTGTTTTTCAAAGCAGTTTACATTCACTCAACAATCATTTATTCAAGTGCCTCTGTGTTTCGCCATGAAATGTCTAAATCAATCTCCCACAAGCTGCAGTGAGGGTGGTTATTAGTTGCCATTTTAACTGATGAAACTGATGGCCCACAAGTACGAGGAATCCCAAGGACAGAATAGCTGCTAGAAGAATTGTAACCCACGGTGGTCACTCCGTTCTTAGTGCACCTCTGGTCCACCCGAAACAATGCCTGACAATGGTGTTTTGCCTTGCAAAGTTGCTTGTCCATCTAATGAAACAAAGCAAAGC